TGCGCGTCCAGAGCCTGTGTTCCGCAATGGGAGAGGCCACAACAGTGAGAGGCCTGCCCGGTAAAAAAAAAAAAAAAAAAAAAAAGACTATCATAATTTTTCTCTTTATAAAATTTAAATCATCTTTTTAAAACCTTAATTTGGTAAGCTTTCCTTTTGCAAATTTAATTCATTTTCATTATGTGCCAGAGATTCTACTTAGTGTGCTTTTTTCAGTGTGCTGAGAAACCCTTTTGAATTCAAGAACTATTTATTGAGCTCCTACTGCATACAAGCTACTCTGCTAGTGATTGGTGGTTTATTTGGTTACTGATAACTTCATTTGATTTTGGTAAACATGCCTATCATACTTCAGAAGTTGAAAAACTTCATTCAGATGTTTGAGTCTCTGGTATTACCTGCTTCCATGATAGCTTTATTTCCTTAATTATTCTCTGGCTGGATTTTTTTGTTCCTTTCTTCTTATGCTTTTCTATTTCTAGAGATTTATTCTGCTCTAAGCAACCTATTCATTTACCCTCTTAAAATATTCTGTGGAAGAACCGTAACATAACTACTACTCGGCACTTGTTTTTTTTTAAATTTATGTATGTATGTATGTATGTATTGGCTGCGTTCGGTCTTCATTGCTGTCCACGGGCTTTCTCTAGTTCCGGAGAGTGGGGGCTACTCTTCATTGCGGTGCATGGGCTTCTCAGAACACAGGCTCAGTAGTTGTGGCACACAGGCCCAGTTGCTCCGTGGCATGTGGGATCTTTCTGGACCAGGGATTGAACCTGTGTCCCCTGCATTGGCAGATTCTTAACCACTGCGCCACCAGGGAAGCCCCCTACTCTGCACTTGTATAGGACTTTAATATAAAATTCCAGTCTGTGAACTGAAAGACTTTCTGATGTTTGATAAGATCTGAGCTAACTTCTTTTTTTAAACTGGACGTTAGTGGTTCCTGAGACATCTGAAATAGTAAAGAAAGTAGTGAGCATATATACATTTTTTCTTAAAAGAAGTTCTAGATCTTTGTCTTATTCACTTAGGGCTTTTGTATATTATCAGACTGGTTAGGGTTAGTCATGGAACTGACAGGTTGGTCACTAATTTAAAGTAAATGGTAATTTCATTGGGGAAGAATATAACTTACTAGACTTGAATACAGAGTGGGTTACCTTGGAGGTTTATTTCTTCTTTTTTGGTTTTATATGCTTGAATGACTCTAGGCCGGTGGTTCTGGGGAGGGGTGATTTTTGTCCTCTAGGGGCATTTGGTAGTGTCTGGAGACATTTTTGGTTGGTTGCTGCTGGTATCTAGTGAATCCCTAGATACCAGGGATAGTGCCAAAAATCCTAATATGCACAGAACAGCCCCCCACAACAAAGAATTATCTGGCCCCAAATGTCAGTTGTACTGAGGCTTGAGGAATGCTGGAGGCCAACTTGGGAATCACCAGTGGTTAGCTAGATGGTATTTGAAGCTATGGGATAAGTAAAGTCACCTAAGCGTATGACCAGCTCTTCTGCTCTGGAGTTTATCTACTTAATTGATTCTACCATTTTGGTAGGTATGAAGAGGTACTTTTCATTCCTGTCCCAAAACCACTTATCAAGAGACCAAACTGCAACCATCTTAATTACCTAAATATGATTGTTAGTTAACTTACTGGTTTGGAAAAAAACAATAAAACCTCTACCATCTTTATAGTCCTGAACTCTTTTTTTTTTTTTTGATACGCGGGCCTCTCACTGTTGTGGCCTCTCCCATTGCGGAGCACAGGCTCCGGACGCGCAGGCTCAGCGGCCATGGCTCACAGGCCCAGCCGCTCCGCGGCATGTGGGATCTTCCCGGACCGGGGCACGAACCCGTATCCCCTGCATTGGCAGGCGGGCTCTCAACCACTGCGCCACTAGGGAAGCCCCTGAACTCTTTTAATGGAGGACTTTCCAGAACTCCACTGAAAAGTATTTGTATCCAAGGTGAAAAGAATTCTGGAGATTGTCTACACAACAGTGTAACTTTACTTAACACTATGAACTGTGCACTTAAAACTGGTTAAGGGCTTCCCCGGTGGCGCAGTGGTTGAGTCCGCCTGCTGATGCAGGGGACGCAGGTTCGTGCCCCGGTCCGGGAGGATCCCACATGCCGTGGAGCGGCTGGGCCTGTGAGCCATGGCCGCTGAGCCTGCGCGTCCGGAGCCTGTGCTCCGCAACGGCAGAGGCCACAACAGTGAGAGGCCCTCGTACGCAAAAAAAAAAAAAAAAAAAAACTGGTTAAGATAGTGAATTTTATGTTCAGGTATATGATACCACAATTAAAAAAAATTTGTATCCAGCGTTTTATATCTTCTTATGCAGTGTTCCATTGTATTCCTCTAGGACTGTTCTCAGTTTCTATCACTATTTTTTTTTTTTAGTCAAGAGATTTTATGATCTCTCAGGTGATTTTTCATTCTTTTCCAAATGCCCCTTAATTTTTAAAGTATACACATTAGCCCTCATCTTAAAGATGGGACAATACTGGGTTGATAAGAAAGTATAGTATTTGGGTTTTAGCTTATTAAAGTATTTCACTAAATTCTCAATTTAGGGAACCGTATGTAGTCATTGTCTGGATATTGAAAAAGAAGTAATTGTTTAGCTTAAAATGCTTTTACTGTAAAGATTACTCATGATTCCATGTATGTCTTTTCTTTCTTTCTAATAGGCTTTTAAGGATATGCTGTACTCAGCTCAGGACCAGGCACCTTCTGTGGAAGGTAAGATGCATTAATCTCTACATTTAACCACATAAAACTTTTTAAGAAAAGATATTTTAAACTGAACAGTATAAAACGAATATAACCTGCCCTACTTTATAAATCTTTTTTGTTTTTTATAATATATATTATGATTACTTTGTGTTTCAATGAAACTTTTTTTTTTGTTTAGCTCACATTTACTTTATGATGGATCGCTTATAATATCCTCAAATCACCTTAGCATTGTGAATCATAGATATTGGTTTAGAGTTAAAGCTCTTATCTGTGTCATGCTCCCTCCCTCAAGCAATGTATTTTTATATTTGTCTCTATTGTCTATTCATGCATCCATCCATCATTCAGTGAATCCTTAGTTCATAATTAGTCTGGGCAACACAGCTTTTTCTTTCTATTTATGTCATGTCTTTAGACTGGGACTAGTAAAACAACGAAACATATTTACTCGTGTGTGTGTGTGTGTGTGTGTGTGTGTGTGTGTGTGTGTGTTTATAAGCATGTATATGTATGCCTGTGCACAGTCAAAAAAAAAAAAAAAAAAAAACTGGTTAAGATAGTGAATTTTATGTTCAGGTATATGATACCACAATTAAAAAAAATTTGTATCCAGCGTTTTATATCTTCTTATGCAGTGTTCCATTGTATTCCTCTAGGACTGTTCTCAGTTTCTATCACTATTTTTTTTTTTTAGTCAAGAGATTTTATGATCTCTCAGGTGATTTTTCATTCTTTTCCAAATGCCCCTTAATTTTTAAAGTATACACATTAGCCCTCATCTTAAAGATGGGACAATACTGGGTTGATAAGAAAGTATAGTATTTGGGTTTTAGCTTATTAAAGTATTTCACTAAATTCTCAATTTAGGGAACCGTATGTAGTCATTGTCTGGATATTGAAAAAGAAGTAATTGTTTAGCTTAAAATGCTTTTACTGTAAAGATTACTCATGATTCCATGTATGTCTTTTCTTTCTTTCTAATAGGCTTTTAAGGATATGCTGTACTCAGCTCAGGACCAGGCACCTTCTGTGGAAGGTAAGATGCATTAATCTCTACATTTAACCACATAAAACTTTTTAAGAAAAGATATTTTAAACTGAACAGTATAAAACGAATATAACCTGCCCTACTTTATAAATCTTTTTTGTTTTTTATAATATATATTATGATTACTTTGTGTTTCAATGAAACTTTTTTTTTTGTTTAGCTCACATTTACTTTATGATGGATCGCTTATAATATCCTCAAATCACCTTAGCATTGTGAATCATAGATATTGGTTTAGAGTTAAAGCTCTTATCTGTGTCATGCTCCCTCCCTCAAGCAATGTATTTTTATATTTGTCTCTATTGTCTATTCATGCATCCATCCATCATTCAGTGAATCCTTAGTTCATAATTAGTCTGGGCAACACAGCTTTTTCTTTCTATTTATGTCATGTCTTTAGACTGGGACTAGTAAAACAACGAAACATATTTACTCGTGTGTGTGTGTGTGTGTGTGTGTGTGTGTGTGTGTGTGTGTTTATAAGCATGTATATGTATGCCTGTGCACAGTTTGGCAGTCATAAAATGACTGACCTAAGGATAGTGGTTATCTTTCCAATTATCTTTATTGATCCTCTGTTACCTCAGCTTCTACTCACCAGCTCATTCTTTATGGGTTTAACCTTTGATAGGTTTGGAGAGTTGTAAGTTAAAGTTGTAGTTCTTGTGTCAGTAAATAATTAGCTAATTCAACAACTGTTTCTTGAGGGAGTGTTCCTTCTGAGGCTGGATAGTCTTTTAAAATTTTGCATCACATATTTTCAGGAGAGATGAATATGAGGTTGTTTATTAGAACTACAGACCTGTAATTAAAAATCTGATTGTCTTTAATGACATAAAGACATATATATCTTTCAGCTCTAACTGTTCTGAATTCAAAATGTGCTTCCTTCAGCATCTCAAAATCTTTACTAGGGTATTGGTACCTGGGTATTACTTTTATAATATGTCACTAAATTTTGGATTATATTTAATATATTTAATATAGTTAATATAATTCTCTAATATTTAACTGAAGACAAATGTTTAGTTCTTTATTAGGTTATTATCTCTTATTTTATGTGTCTTAAACAGTACCTCCTCAAAATATTTTAAGAATGTAAGAAAAATGAAATTACATGGAAGTTAAGCTGATTTCCTCACCCTGTGTTACTTGCTTTAATATTGGTTCTTTTAATTTTATTCTCAAAGTTGGACTGTTTATCCTTAATTTTTTTTTAAAGTTTTACCATCTGGTTTTAAACAAAGATATTCTGAGATATGTTGAAAGTTATGATCTTTATTCATCCCTCCATGTTGGATCATGTTGCTAGTAATTCTCATATACTTTTAGCTGTTATGGGAGAAAAACTGAATTCTGTCAAAGTATGCTAAAATGACAAATATTTATAGTTAATAACTTTTTCTTTATCTCATTGTCCAGAGACATTAACTTCTTTGGACCCTGTTATAAAGGGAGTACTCTAGGCTGATCATGCAGATATATGTGCTGCTTTCATAAGGGAAATATTCTGCACTTGTTCATTCTTTCCATTCTCAGATAAACAAACTAAACCCATGTAGTTTTTGTCTTCTTAAAATGAATTTTTCTCTTTAGAGACACTGGGGAATTGAAGGTATTGGAAGGTATATTAAGGAAACATTATTCTGTGTAGTATTGAGGTTAGAAAAAGTTATTTAAAGGCACTATAATTTTGTGTCTCATTTGCATTGTGATACTATATTAATTTACTCTCTTTTATATGGTGTTAAATTTAAATGATAATTTCTGTCATTCATTTATTCTTGCTATTGGGTTTGTATTTCTAGATTTTTATTTAGCAGTTATCTATAAAATAATGCAACGTCAGCAGATTTATCACAAAGTCCAAGATAGGACTTTCAACTTTTAACAATTTTTAAAAAAAATATAAATTAATTTATTTATTTATTTTTGGCTGCATTAGGTGTTTGTTGCTGCTCACGGGCTTTCTCTAGCTGCGGCGAGCAGGGGACACTCCTCGTTGCGGTGCGCAGGCCTCTCATTGCGGTGGCCTCTCCTGCCTTGGAGCACAGGCTCTAGGCGTGTGGGCTTCAGTAGTTGTGGCACGTGGGCTCAGTAGTTGTGGTGCATGGGCCCAGCTGCTCCGCAGCATGTGGGATCTTCCCAGACCAGGGCTCGAACCCGTGTCCCCTGCATTGGCAGGCGGACTCCCAACCACTGCACCACCAGGGAAGTCCCAACTTTTAACATTTTTAAAGGAAAAAAATGTTTGATTGGCCTTGATTATTTTTTTGAATATTGTCTTTCTCTCTTTTCTTCATTCTCCTCTTTTTCTATACCTTAAGTTTTAGTAGACTTAAGATTTTTGGTGCCAGTAAGCAAGTTTTTGTTTTAATCTTAAAACTGGAGTATACCATAAATTGGTGATTTTCAAATCTGCTGTACAATTAACTCAATTTACTTGTGTTTTGTTTGTATGTTTGTTTTACAAATACTGATACTTAGTACCCTTCTCAGGCCAATTAAAATAGGATATGGGGAGTGGAGCCCAGGCATTGATAGTTTTATAGTCTTTCTAGGTGATTCTAATAAAATAGCCAAAGTTGAGAACCCTTGCTAAAAATAATCTTTTTTAAAAAAATAAATTTTATTTATTTATTTATTTATGGCTGCGTTGGGTCTTTTGTTGCTGCACAAGGGCTTTCTCTAGTTGCAGTGAGCAGGGGCCACTCTTCGTTGCAGTTCGTGGGCTTCTCATTGCGGTGGCTTCTCTTGTTGCAGAGCACGGCTCTAGGTGCACGGGCTTCAGTCGTTGTGGCACAGGGGCTCAGTAGTTGTGGCTTGTGGGCTCTAGAGTGCAGGCTCAGTAGTTGTTGCACACGGGCTTAGTTGCTCCGTGGCATGTGGGATCTTCCTGGACCAGGGCTTGGACCTGTGTCCCCTGCGTTGGCAGGCGGATTCTTAACTACTGCGCTACTAAGGAAGTCCCCAGCCATAAATAATCTTAAAGAATTTTAGACCAGTATTGTTAATGCTAAATTTTTTCAGGCAATAACTAGCCAGTAGGTTTATAGGCTTCTTAAGTTCATCTATAGTCTGATTATTCTATTAGCATTTATAGGATGTTTATTTTTTAAATGTTTATTGCATTGAATTGAATATAAGTAATAGCTGTCCTGATTATTTACATATATTAAATCGTTATAACTTAACATTGTTATTAGAATTAAAAAACATTTTTGTTGAATTATTACATACTATTATAGTAAAATAAGTAGCTTCATATTTTCACAGTACTTTTGTTTAAGATCGAATGGATTTCTGATTATAGTGAAAGAAAGGTAACTTGAAATGGATTCTTAAAGAGTGAAGTGGTTTATCTGATAAAAGTAAATTAGATAAAAGGCACAGTATATGAAAGCTTTTGTTGATTAGAAGTTGACTACTATTTTTTACACTAGTGGATTATTTTCTTATAATTTCAGGATAGTGCCTTTATTCTTCATAGGTAGGGTGGCGCTTTTTTTCCCATTTAAAAGTAAACCAGGGCTTCCCTGGTGGCACAGTGGTTGAGAGTCTGCCTGCCAATGCAGGGGACATGGGTTCGTGCCTCGGTCCGGGAAGATTCTGCATGCTGCGGAGTGGCCGGGCCGGTGAGCCATGGCCGCTGAGCCTGCGCGTCCGGAGCCTGTGCTCCGCAGCGGGAGAAGCCGCAACAGTGAGAGCCCCGCGTACCGCAAAAAAAAAAAAAGTAAACCAGGGCTTCCCTGGTAGCGCGGTGGTTGGGAGTCCGCCTGCCGATGCAGGGGACACGGGTTTGTGCCCCGGTCCGGGCCACATGCCGCGGAGCGGCTAGGCCCGTGAGCCATGGCCGCTGAGCCTGCGCGTCCGGAGCCTGTGGTCCACAACGGAAGAGGCCACAACAGTGAAAGGCCCGTGTACCGCAAAAATAAACCAACCAAACAAAATAATT